TCAGCCTGGGACGAAAGGGTCTGGGTGAAGGCCTTCACATCAGTTCCTCTGATTCAACACTAGGAGGTGGCACCCATTTTCTTTCTTTGAGGAGGGAAGAAGAGGGAAAGGAAGGGAAGACTGGATAGGAAGGCAGGTACAGAAGGCCAACCTGGTAAAAAATACACATCCCTGAGTTGGAAACGGGGTAGGGGAGAGTACAGGGCTTGAAGAAGCTAGAGCTGTCGAGATTAGGGGTCGGCCAAGAAGGTCCTGGCAGAGGCTGTGTGGCAGAGGGAGTGAGGCTGCACAGGACTGAGCAGAGAACCTGGAGGCACCTCACCAGGGAGGCTGGGGTCATGGCTGAGGACAGCTCCTGGATGAGGCGGCAAGAAGGTTCCTAGCAGACCCGAGGAACGGGATTAAGAACACAAAGAACAGCATGGCAAGTTGTATATACTCATTTTAAATGGAGAAACTGAAAAAGTCAGCAAGAGAAAGGAGCTGATAGAATAGCAGGAAGGAGTAAGAAGGAAGGGAGCCAGGGTCCAGGTTGAGGGGTCAGCATGGGGAGATGGGAGAAGCCAGGACAGGAGTGATTTCAAGGCAAAGGGGGAAGATGCGGGATGTCTGTCTCCTCTGCAGAGCAGAGCACAGGGTGTCTGCTGAGGGCTCAGGTGGGGACAAAGAAGGGTCCCTGGGCAGCACAGAGCCAAAGCAGCAGTGGAGAGAACACAGCCTGCAGGGACCGGCTCACACACCACAGTGAGTTCCTACCAGGACTTGATGACCTGGCCATGGAGGCGGGGGAAGTCCAGGCAGGATAGGGTGGGCTGTGTGCTCTCTGAGGGGCTGCCCATGAGCTGCAGGCTAGGGGAGGAGGTTGTGAGCTCGGAGGGTGCTAGAACTGGGGGACAGGTTAGGGCCTAGAGCCTGGGAGCTGCAGGAGGGCCAAGAGTAGGCCCCAGGGAAGGAGTCTGAGGCAGGAGGGCCAAGCTGGGTGGTGGGCCCTGAGGAGGGAATGTCTGAGCTTGAGAATGTAGCACTAGCACAGAAGGGACAACACACTCTCAGATGCTGGCTCTCGGGTGGGGAACTGGAGGTTGGGAGACAAAAGTCCTGGAGTCTAGGCAGCCAGGGAGGTGGGAGGCCAGGTGTACTCTTTCAGGCGGAAAAGTTTCCTTGTTCTGCTTCTGCTTTGGTGATTTATAACTGAAACACAAGCTCATATTTTATAATGTCTAAAATGGTAATAACTCCCAATTCTGTGCATACTGGTATACTTAAAATGTAGTTTTATAAAAAGCCCAATAATTCAGGCACAGGCCTCAGGGCAAACACCCAGGGCGGCCCAGAACACGGCCCTGTGGTGCAGCGTCTGCCGATGCCGCAACCAATGATCTGAGGCTGCCCACTCATTGCCATGGTGTTTTTTAGCAAATGTCCCCAGTGAGCTCTGGCTCATGAGTGGCTGAGCAGGCATCTCCACACTTACTTGAGTTCTTTCTTCACCTCTTCATAGTCAGCCTGTCCTTTGAGTTTTTCTTCCAGTTGCTGAAAACAGAGGAATTTTATTAGTCACCATGTCTGAAATAGGTCAATGGACTCTGCTATAAACCGAGTATTTGTGTCCTTCTGCCACCCTCCCCTCTTCCTGGCAATGCATATGTTGAGATCCTAACTCCCACTGTGATGGATCTGGAGATGGTGATTAGGTCATGAGGGTGGAGCCCTCATGAACGGGATTAGTGGCCTTATAAAAGCGGCCCAGAGAGCTCCCTTGCCTATTCTATTCTGCCCTGTGCAGACACAGAGAGAAGAAGGCAGTCAGGGAGGAAGCTCTCACCAGACACCAAATTTGCCAGTGCCTTGATCTTGGATTTCCCAGCCTCCAGGACTGAGAGAAATAAGTGTTTATTGTTTACTAGAGGCCCGGTGCACGAAATTCGTGCACAGGAGGGGGGGGGCGGGTTTGTCCCTCAGCCTGGCCTGCACCCTCTCCAATCCGGGACCCCTTGGGATTGGGCCTAAACTGGCAGTCAGACATCCCTCTTGCAATCCGGGACTGCTGGCTCCTAATCACTCACCTGCCTGCCTGCCTGATCGTCCCTTAACTGCCCCCTGTGCCGGCCTGGTTGCCCCCTAACTGCCCCCCTGCCGGCCTGGCCGCCCCCTAACTTTCCAAAAGGAAGTTGGACATCTGGAAGATGTCCGGTTGACCTGGTCTAATTAGCATATTACCCTTTTATTAGTATAGATAAGTTCCCCAGTCTATGGTATTCTGCTCTGGCAGCCAAATGGACTAAACAGATTTCACTGATTACATTCCCTGTAAAACACCCAGAGGTCCCTGAGAGGGAACACAAAAATGTACAAATGAAAGTTGATAATGTGTGGTGTCGTCTTTTGTTCTTTACTCTGTGGTCTGGTGTGAGCATGTATGTTAGTGGACACAGGCATTCATACATACACACACACACGTTAATATAAGGCTGTAACATAAAATTTGGAAAACAATAAGGAAAAGGCCATTTTGTACGAATACCATGAAATGACAAACAGAATTAAGAGACGCTCTGCTAGTATTGTAAAAACAGCAAGTGGCTTTTCACAAACCATGTTTGGCTAGCTGATGCATATAGTCAGTTGTTAACACCCTTGGTGGGACCCTGCAAACCAAAGATATAGCCCCTTTGTTGTTGAGGCTGTCATCAGATAGGCATCAGGAAAAAGCACTTGCAGGGGCTCTTAGGAGCAGAGGCCTGTTCAGCTGGGTGGTCAGTGTTTCCCTGACAGTTCTGAACCCTGTGGGGAGGGCCCTCCAAGGGTGCCCTGGCCAGCAGGGCCACAGCAGATCCCCTGATGGCCCTTCAGAGGAAAGGTGAGGGGTTCTGTCCAGGGGTGCAGGGGAGTGACAGCATATTTCCCAGGCAGGACGATGCTCTAATAGGCTCCATTAGAGTCTGTGTGCTCGCTGGGCATTCACTGGCGGTTTCAGCACAGAGCTCAACAGGCTTTCTTGCCAGGCAGGCCTTTGGCATAGGGAGGTCAGCAGCTGCGCTTCCCTCTATGAAGGTGTTTTGGACTAGTTTGCTTTTTTCTCTCCCCATTAGGGAGCTCTGTAGGGGAAATAAGCAGCTTAATAAAAACACAAAGACCCAGGTTGCGGGGAAGGGTTCTAACGACTTAGCGTGTTTCCAAACCTGGGGTGAACAAATTCCTGAATCAAAGCACCTCTCCATCTCCAGGGCTTCCATTCGCCTTTGGCTTGACCAGCCACAACTACAATCTCAGTATAAAGACATCTGGGAACATGTTAGAGTTGAGGGAGGAGATGCTCATGTGGCCATCAGCTTGGACATTTACCCGAATCCCACCCTGCTCGCTGTTTCAAGAATTCAGGTGTTCTATAAACAAAAGTCATTTAGTCCATTTTTCTACTGCATTTACTGGCAGTTTGGTGTATTTTCCATTGCGTAAAATTGTGCTGCCCTAGTTCCTTTATAAGACCTCTTGCCAATGTTATGTTTATAATGGTTTCTCAGCCATAATCAAGCAGGGGGTAGCATGCACTCATTTTCTGACAAAAGAATCTCAGAAGGTGCTCATGAAAAAATGATTACTTCATTCTTCTCTTTATGGTGGAATAGCAGGAAGCACTAATGTGCCAACCCTCCCAAACAAAAGATTATCCAGTGCTGCTGGGATACAGAAATACCTTTCAGACTGAGGAATTCACTGACGCTGGATACGAAACACATAAAACTTGGTCATGTTCAGAGATCAGGAGAAAGGAAGAAAGGCAGCGAGAGGTGAAAACATGGAGCACTTCAGAACCCAGCATGTCAGTGAACCTGGAGTCAGTTCTGTCTCTTGCAACCTGGGTGACCTTGGACATGTCAATAAACTTCTGGTCTATAGAATGGGATAGCAGCAATGACCTTAAAGGGTTTAGCTAAGGGGCACAAAAGCAAGGACATGGTGCAAATGTTGGCACGGTGGGCCTCGGATGTGGGACCATTACCATCGCCAAGTCCCAGTCCACTTTCCTGAGAGCACAGTTGCAGGTCTTTTTTGCAGACCTGAGGTCGGCCCCGATCAGAAGGCTCTAGGACTGGAGTCTGTCATCTGGTTGGGTATAAGCATTCACTGAGGACTAAACAGCTTCCACTGAAATTTCTGCCACCAGCTCAATGAAGAACCCAAGACCACGCCTCTGAAGCTCTGACGATGGCTCTGCTCGTTGGGCAAATGGATGGAGGGCTGACCAAGCTTGTCCTGACCTGTGAGCACTTCAGCCTGTCCCCACAGAAGTCCCCACAGAGTGCCAGGAAGCACAGGCGGGGCTGACCACTGGCCTCTGACACCGTAAATGCCACCAAGGAAGAAAGACCAAACGTCCTCAGCTCAGTTCTGTGACCAGAAACTCCTTGCTGAGTACCTAGAAAGCCTACTTCCAAGCCTCAATCTGGAAAGGGCAACAGGTGCTTAACCTGCCGTTCTCACCGGACAAAGATCCCTCTCTCAGAATCGCTAATGTTCACTGGGTAGGCCCAGTTCTATGCTTGGTTCTGCATCTTGCTATCTTACTTAATTGTTGCAACACCCTGCAGAGGCATCTATCTGCCCAAAGAAAGAAAAAGAATCACCGAGTTCTACAATCAGACCTCGTCAGAGCAGAGGCTGCCCTGCCCGCCTGCAGCAACTCTGAGAGGAAGTGAAAGGCTGGTGTGCTGAGGCCAGGCAGTGCCTGCTGCAAGGCTGCGCTGAGCCTCACAGGCCGGACGGCAGCTCTCAGATGCAGGGAGACCTTCACAAGACACTTAACTTCTCTAGGCTTCAGTTTGTTCATAAATGGGGGCTGTGATGCACACAGTACCATGCTTCTGCGAGGCTTCAATGAAATAATGCGTATTAAGTGCTTAGTGCAGTGCTTGGCACATGGTAAAGCACTCAGCAATGGCCGTTATTATTGTTTCCCTAGTTATTATTACTTTACCCTTGGATGTGACTAAATTGTTTCTGAAGAGGCTCTGTGGTTCTGAATCCAGGGGCTCTGTTTATGACGTTCTCCACTTCCCAATGTCATCTCCCAATGTCCCCATTGTTCTGTGGCAGATCCATGGGGAAGGAACAGAGGTGCCTGGACCGATTCTGGCTCTTAAGTGCTGATGGCAGGAAAGGCAGCCCCATATCTAGTTCCATGAATGCAGGATTTGGAAGCCAGATTATCTTCCTGAAAAGGTACTTATCTAAGCAACACACATGGGCTTTATACAGACAGGTGAGAAATGGCCACATGTCAGAAACAGGTTGCTAGCCCAGGCTGAGTTGTGACCGTGGGTGATGGGCTTAGCCAGCCAGCAAGCAAGAATGTACTGGCCGCAGTGCACACACTTGGGAGAGTGAAATGAAGAAGGACATAGAACAGTGGTTCTCAACCTTCCTAATGCCACGACCCTTTAATACAGTTCCTCATGTTGTGGTGACCCCCAATTTCATTGTTACAAATTGAACATAATTAAAGCATAGTGATTAATCACAAAAACAGTATGTAATTATATATGTGTTTTCCGATGGTCTTAGGCGACCTCTGTGAAAGGGTCTTTCGATCCCCAAAGGGGTCACCACCCACAGGTTGAGAACCGCTGACATAGAGGAAGTAACAGGAGAACCTAGGCTGGGTTGCTTTGGTTCACTGAGAAGAAAGGGGGTTAGCCTGGGATGAGCTGCTGCTGCTCATTGCTCTCCTGGTTGCAAATCTTGTGGGGTCCCTTCGAGTTTAGGAGATGTAGGCCTGTGGGGGAAAGGAAGGGGGAAGACAATGGCACGGGGTTCCTGTAGGGGAGAGGGCACTATATGAAGTTCTTAAATTCCTGGCTAAGACTCAAATATAAGAAAATTTAATTTAAAGTGCAAAGTATTTTGGTGTGTAGGCACTACACTTATAAACGATACCTTAGTCAAGTTATACCACAGGGCTTTCCCTGCTCTGGGGCTGCCAACTTAAGGGGCCTCTGGCACGGGACACAAATACAAAGACCCTGGGAAAGGCCTCATCTTCCAGGCCGCACAGCGAGGGGTCAAGGCAGCAACACCTCTTTGTAATAAACAGACTGTGGGCCAGAGAGGTGACTATGTTGCAGTTTGCAGACAGCTCCACCTTCCTCCTCCAGGATGATCAGAGCTAGGTTCTTGGCAGTGCTGTCTGGAGACTGACAGTTCAGGTGTCGGTGTGTGACGCCTGGTACTCAGCTGGAGCCCTGGGCTGAGGGGCCACCAGTCGGAGCTGAGCAAGTGTGACTGGGTTCCCTGGTCCAGGGCAGGGGTCTGAGGCATAGCTCCTGGGGTTGATACAGATTTTCCGGGGTCTAGGACTAGGCAGTGTATGCCTCCTTTTCACCTAAATGGGGACCCCCTTCAGCCCCCACTGTTCCTCGGTGAGAGGTAGCATCTACTGATGCTGGGCAAGGGGGAGAAGCCCAGGGATGGCTGGGTGGGCGCTGTGCACACATGGATGCTGAGAATTCAAGACAAAAAGAGGAGACCACAGGCCAGATAGGGGGTTGGCGGGGAGAGTGATGGCTATGTTGGAGCGCTTGCTGCAGGCAGGAGAAGGGTAGCTCTGGATAAAGGCCCTTCTATGGTAACCCTGTTACAGGTCACCTCCAACTTCCTCGAGCTGTGATCTAGGTGTGACCCAGGCACAGGGCAGAATGGTGTCATCACACAGCAGGAGGGTCCTGGCCCAATATAGGCCACCTGGACATTGCAAGTCACGGTCAGCTAAGGGTGCTGCAAGCTGGGGACTATGCAAGTGAAACACCAGGATTTACTCACAAGTGACTAGAGCACATGCATCTTCCTAAGAGGATTCATTGTAGATTCCCACAATTAGCTCCCTGAAGCACCTCCAGTAACACCCACTGGTTCACAGCGATTTACAGGACACTACTTGAAACCTCCAGCTCCTATATCAATCCTAGCACAGCCCCTTTGGTTTCTGGAGATTGCTCCTCCTAGGCCTCACCACTGCTCCCTGAGTGGTACCATCTTCGCCCTTCCTCCTCCCCAGGGAAAGCTCACTGTCCTTCCTCCAATCTGCTCACAGTGCCTTCAAGACCCAACCAGGGCGAGGCTCTGGGAGGCTCGGTCCGAGGCTCCTCTGCTTTCAGGATGCAGATGCTCGTGCCGTCCAGGGTAAGTCTCCCCTATGGTGGTGGGTGGGTGCAGTGGAGGCACATGCATGGGTCTCCCATATACAGCGCCGGGCTAGAAACTACAGGGCCTGGCCTCTCCTAACTTCAGTGACCTCCTCCACAAAGCAGTGATCATCATGACCGCTCACCTAGTGAGTGTCAAATGGGATGTGGATGTTAGAGCTTTATACACTGCGATGTTGCTAAGATGCTTGTTAAAACATGATAGAGGGCAGCCTTTATGCAGAGTCAACACACTGCCTGGTGAGGAAACTTATGTAACCAAAGAGGCAGCGTTCAGAATTAAAGGCATGGAATGACTGTAGAGAAGCAGTAATCAGTCTTTTGTTCCCGTCCCAACCTCCTGAGGGACACAGCAAGCTCTACAGCGGCTCAAGAGGACCACCAGCACGTCAGGAGGTGGGGTGAGGGGCCCAGAGGGTTGGGGAGGCATGCGCAGCTTGGAGACAGTCCTGCAGGTCACTGTAATACACCTGCCCAAAGATGTAATTTCTCCCTATGGGAGACTGACATCCTTTTAGCTATCTTTTCTCATAAATATAATTTTAAATGGAAGCTTTTGGAAGCATTGTTTTCTGTGCTATAGTGAACATAATGTAGGTGACTGCCTAATCATACTGCCTCTATTTTTAAAAAATTTATTTTATTTTTATCTTCACCCAAGGAGAGTATTTTTTCCATTGATCCTCTACAGAGAGTGGAAGGGAGAGGGGAAGGGGGGAGAGAGAGATAGAAACATTGATGTGAGAGAGACACATTAACCATTGCCTCCGCACATGCCCTGGGGGTGGGGAATGAACCTGCAACCTAGGTATGTGCCCTTGACCTGAATTGAACCCTCGACCCTCTGGTGTGCATGCAGGCTGATGCTCTAACCACGGAGCACACTGGCCAGGGCTATACTGCCTCTGTTTTCAAGTATCCCAACAGAAGACCACAGAATAGAGTTATGAAAAATAGCAGCCTGTAACAGCAGTGGGTTATTTCATCAATTACGAATACAGAATTGTACGTTACAAGTAGCACTGTGCTTGAGCACTGGTAGGTGAAGCAGGAGGAAACTCCCGCTTCTGAGTCTATTCCCATGTCTATTTGACTGTATACGGAGAGTGATGCGTTTATGGTGAAATTGTCTTGAAAAAGCGAAACACGGGGAGGGAAAGACTGGTAAACATCCAACTGTCAATTTAGCCCCAAAACATCACAAATCAATTGTCTAAGTAAAGAGAAGAATCTCAATCACAGAGATTGGGAGCTTCAAGGTGCTAAAGCAGGTGACCAATTAGCCCCCAGAGCCATCCCATTACAGACAGCACCAGTATGTGCAGGCAGAGAGACGAAAGACTCCCAATCATCTCAAGTCTCAAGATTCTGCCCTTATGCCGCCTGCCCTTGTGACACCAACTGCCCACATTCCAGCGGTGACTGCCATTAGCATTTGCCTCAAAGGCCATTGTTAATGTTCATGGCAAAGCACCCACAACTCCAAGATGCTAGGTGGCTGGAAGCTGCAGCATCCTCAAACTGATCCCAATTTGAGCCCCACACAGTGTCCCCAAAGCTGGACAACATGGTCCAAGAAGGAAAGGGCTGGGGGGAAGGGGAGGAAAGGGGTGGGGAGGGAGGAGGAGAGAAGAGCCCCGGGAAGTTCAGGGACGGCTCACTGCTGCTTCTGTGCGGCCACCACCGCTGGGTCACAGACCCCTGTTGCAAAAGCATCGGGCTGTCAATATGACAGGCCTCATTCATAAAATAGTTTCCTAATAATTGTATCGCTGCCTAGTTTAGATTTGAGACTATAAATTATACACATTAGCGGGGGAAAGAGCCCTGGGAAGGTATCTCATTCAATTAACCTTACTCCTTTGGGGAAGGCTAATGCCTTTTGTGTGCAGGTTCGATATTGGGGAGGTCTTCACTCCTGGCGAGAAGGGGTTAAGATAATTAAAACCAGAGAGGTCTTGTTACTAGAGGATATGTTTTGATTATTAGATCAGATGAAGATAAGGGAGCAATAATTTTGGAAGAAGTATTGCCGAATTGTTTCATTAACTGCACAGTATTAAAGATTTCCCCCAAGATATGGATAAAGAACATTAATTTGTGAAAACTGTGTTTCATTTTTTGTGAAGGCAAACATTAAAACCTTAACTGGTTTAGAGGAAATTGCTCTAGAATAAAAAATGCAAGCTCTACAGCCTCCCTCTTATGTAGTCCATGCAGAATGCATTTGAGTCAAACCCTTTAATGGTAACAGAGGAGAGAAAGGCAAATTATCTAATAATAATGCCAATGCTAGGGTCAGAAATAGCTGTAACATGAGAAAATTAGATTTAATCTAGAAATAAAAAATGAGCACTAGTACTCACTGAGCAGGCTGATGAAAGAAAAAGACACAATGAAGAAATAAATGCCATGGCTGATGACAAATGTGACTAGGTCTCACACATCTTCCCAGTCACAGGACTATCTCCCCCAAGGAGCCCAACCTGGCAGTTTCTTGGGCTGTGGATGAAACCTATCCCAAAGAGGCAAAGGAGAAGCTAGCGAGGGAGGGCTGTGGGTTCTGCCAGTGCCAGCGAGTTGCCATGAGGACAGACTTGTTGGTACTTAGCTCTGGGTCAGAAACATGGTCATGTATCAAGAAGAAAACTTTCAATGACAAAAGAAAATCAAGATGGCCCTACGACATTCTAGAATTACTCTATATAAGAAAAAGTTGTCCTGACATTTTTATAATTAAGCTTGATCCACCTTATTTAGCATACAATGATTATACTTGGCATTCATTCACTCATTTATTCAATCACGCATCCCACAATGGATGCTGAGTGGAGGGCAGGAGGAGGCCCAAGTGGGCCTTGTGGAGGGACAGCAGAGTGGAGAAGGGGAACGCCTGGCCTGGGAGCAGGGGCCAAGCCTGTGCTGGTAAGATACTCTGAGGCTCTCTGACTCCGACATGCTAGGAATCAGGGTCCCAGGACTATCTTCAAATTACACTAAGTAACTTCAAATGATAGGAAATAGCTTAAGTAAAGTATATATATTTCAATATAATGAAAACGATTCCAGGTTCTGAATTTGGGACACAAAGTTATGAGAAACCTCACGAGGACCTAGCTTTTGTCTGGGCTGCTGTGATTCTGCCTGGGAGGAAAGAGGCCAACTGTGTGAGCTGTGTTGAAGTAACACATTTTAGGCAGCTGTGTGTGTCCCAGGCCTGAGGGACAAAAAATGATCTTACAGCTTGAGAGTAAGGCCCAGGGGGCTCGAGTACCTCTTGCTTTCATTTCATCTGGGCACAGGCAGAGCTCACATTTCAGTGTGCCTGGGCAGCCCAGCAGAGCTGACTAATGGCATGTCTATGCAGACAGTCTGTGAACTTGACAGCCCCTCTCACCCACCCAAGAAGCACATAGAGCCTCCAGGTCCAACACTGCCAGCCACAGCTCTCAGGTAGAAAAGCAGTGCCGTGGGTGGGCGGGCACTGAGGATGGGGTTTCTACCAAGTGCGGAAGGTGCTGCCCAGGCTGGAGCTGGCAGAGGGGTTCAAAGCCCACCTCCCTGCCTTGGGTGCCAGGACTCTGCTTCTAGCTGCTTCACAGAGGTTCAAGGTTGCCATATTTGTCGACAATTCCAGATGTGATGCCTTCCAAAAAAGAATTCTGATGGAATTTAAACACCCATGCTTCTGACTGAGGTCCTCCAGGTAGCCTCATGCCATGTCATTCTGTTCTGACTGGAGGGAAAAACTTGTTGATGGTTGGAACTCAGACTAAGAAATATCCAAGCAGTCACTTTTGCTTTTAAAAGAGATAGAATTTTAACCATTACCTTTGCAGATGACTAAAATGAGAATACCTGTGCAATCAAGGCAGGACCAGGAAGGCAGCTTCTGAGATAAGGCCTCCTGCCATGGTCACTACACCCATTGGGCGTCCCAGATGCTGGGTAGAAGCGACCATTGAAGAGCTCTCAGGGTGTCGGTGGGGAGCCAGAACCATCATTGCAGGCCAATCCCAGGCTCCCTCCAGGGCCGTGTGCGGAGGAAAGCAAAGGGTACGCAAGTGCACGTCCAGCCCTCCCTTGCCCGCCTGCCCCCACAGTGTCCTTACTTTGAGCGTGCTGTTCTTGGCACTCAGCTGCTGCTCGAGCTGGGAGATCTGGCTGGCGGAGTTCTCCCGCAGCTTGGTGAGGCTAGCCTGCAGTCTCTGCACGTCCTCCACCAGCTGGGCGATTTCCCGCTCTTTGGCGGCCAACTCAACTTCGAGGCTGGAGCGGGTCAGCACCTCTATGGCCTGCTCCTGGGAAGGAGAAAGGAAATGACAAAACTGCACCAGCTCAGGCAAGTGCTGGGGTTAGCTGTGCTGGCAACCGCAGCAAAAACAGGCAGATGGGAGGATGTGGACGGTGACCTCATGGTAAGACATTACTTCTTGCCTCTGCTTGGAAGGATCTACTGACTGCCTTCCCTACACCACCCTTCCATCCTCACGGTGAGCTGCCATCCACCGGGTTTGTCCACTCAACAAGCATTTATGAGTATCAGGCACACAGCAGTGGACAAAAGGGTGGATGTCCCTTTCTTCACGGGGCTTCTAGTCAGTGGGATGGGTGGGTGGGTGAGTACACTAAATGCATTTATTAGCAGCATAAAGTGCCAGAGAAAAGCTGAAACAAGAGGTCATGGGGTCAGACTTCAGAGAGGCAGCTGGGGTTTTTAATAAGATGGTCAGTAAAAGCCTCATGAGATGGTGATATCTGCTAAGATCTAAAGGAGGCGACAGCAAGCGCCTTGCTGGTGGCTGGGGATGAGTGCTTCAGCCAGGGGAATGACAAATGGGAAGGCTCTGGAATGCTCCAAAGCATTCAGGTGTTCTCCCACCAGAAGGGACTCAATGTCTTTCGGTTCCTTACAGAGCTATCTAGATGCTATGTTGTTTGACAAATTGATTTTCAGACTCAGCATTTTAATAAGAGTTAAGAGATGTGGAAGATGCACATTTGGGATTTCTTTGCTTAAAAATTCTTATGATGATTGATTTTTTTTTAAATCCTCACCTGAGGATATTTTTCCATTGATTTTTTTAGAGAGAGTAGAAGAGTGAAGGAAAGGCAGAGAGAAATATTGATATGAGAGAAACACATCGACCGGTTGCCTTCTGCATGAGCACCAACCAGGGCCCGGGCCAGGGAGGAGCCTGCAACTAAGGTATGTGCCCTTGACTGGAACTGAACTCAGGACCCTTCGGTCTGCAGGCCGACACTCTATCCACTAAGCCAAACTGGCTAGGGCTGTGGTCGGCAAACTGCGGCTCGTGAGCCATATGCGGCTCTTTGGCCCCTTGAGTGTGGCTCTTCCTAAGTCTTAGGAGTAACCTAATTAAGTTAATAACAATGTACCTACCTATATAGTTTAAGTTTAAAAAATGTGGCTCTCAAAAGAAATTTCAATCGTTGTACTGTTGATATTTGGCTCTGTTGACTAATGAGTTTGCCGACCACTGGGCTAGGGTATGATGATTGATTTTTTTTAAAAAACTTACCCCCTTCCCCAATTTGTTCATTGTGAAAAATATGTAAAACAGGGAAAAGATATTAAAGAGAGAGAGAGAGAGAGAGAGAGAGAGAGAGAGAGAGAGAAAGAGAGAGAGAAATTAAATCTGTAATTCCACTTCCTAAGGACCAAAGTAGTGCGTTTTCAAACTTTTGAAAGTAATGATGGCTCCTGAATGATTCTGGAAGCTTTCCTGCAGGGTGGATATACTTGGGGGCATGGCAACGGGAATGGGGAGGATAAACCTGCATGTGACACTGCAGTGTGGAATGAATGCCATCACCCTCGCTGGCATCTGCTGCATGCCCCTGACTAGGGATTGAACCTGCAACCTGGGCATATTGAGACAGTGCTCTAACCAACTGAGGTACCAGGCCAGGGCTCACTTCACGCCTTGATCTTGCCTATACTGGGGTAGAAAACAGCAGCTGCGCCCTAGCCTCTTTGGCGCAGTGGATAGAGCATTGGCCTGTGGACCGAAGGGTCCCAGGTTTGATTCCGGTCAAGGGCACATACCTCAGTTGCAGGCTCCTCCCTGCCCATGCCCTGGTCAGGGCTCGTGCAGGAGACAACCAATCGATGTGTTTCTCTCACATCAATGTTTCCATGTCTTTCCTGCTCTCTCTAAAAAAAAAATCAATGGAAAAATATCCTCAGGTGAGGATTAAAAAAAAGAAGAAAAACAAACAAACAAAAAAAATGGCAGCTGCAGCCCCAGTTGGCAGGGACAGCCATGCCACTCTATACCTGTTACGGGGTTTTCACCTTTGGGGACAGCGAGTCACCCAGGGAAATAATGTTACACATCACCCTCCTGGGAAACTAAGGCCTTTACCATTTAAGAATGTAAAGTTTTATGTGCAAAGAAATGATTCTTTCCTGTTTCTTTGATTTGTATAATATCGATTGGAAATTAAAAAATAAAAACAAAACTCTCCTTTACCACAGAGTTAGGGGAGCACCACCCTGGATCACACTGGGCAGATCAAGGTCAGGGGCCTAAGACAAGTCTTCTGGCAGCGCCAGGGGTTAGCACCTAGAACAGTGAAAGAAGCATGCGGAGGTGAACCCCAAGGAGGGAGAGAAGGGCACAGTGGGACAGGGCTGGTGGATCTCATCAGAAGGAAGAGGGGCTCCATTCGAGTGGATACCACAGAAGGGCACAGAGGTTGGAAAGGGCATGAAGCTGGCACAAGGAGGGACTGATGCTGAGAGGCCAGTTCGGAAAAGGGTGTGTTGGTGACCGACGGAATGGTGCCAGAGCTGCCTGGACTGGTGGCACAGGCCTGGGGGGAGTGGGGGCACAATGGCAGTGACATTCGGGGAGGTGGGTCTCAGGGTGGGGTAGAATGAACCATGTTATCTAATTTAACTTATTAATTTTCCAACCTGAGGGATGCCAGCCATAAAAACTGTTTCAAGTGCTCTTAGGGGAAGAGTCTGTAAAACAAGCCAAAAGGTGATCTGGGCTTTGCAACAGGCAAGCAAGTTACTATATCAGGGGCAAGTGGTTCAAACAATACAGGGTGGGCAAAAGGAGGTTTATAGTTGTGAATATATGAAACACAGAGTTTATACTTTTATTATTATTTTCCATATGAAAACTGTAAACCTACTTTTGCCACACCCTGTATATATAAAAACAGCAGCTCTCGGTGTTGAACCTGGGCCCAGGATGGGAACCTGGCATAGGCAGTCCCAGAGGGCCATCTGCCAAACTCCTGAGGCCCAGTGTGGCCTGGCCACAAGCTGACTGTGTGACTGTGTGAACTAACTCAGGAACTAACTCAGGAACCTGGGCCACAGATTCCTCATTTATAACATAGCAAAAGCCAATCGAGTCTTGCATAAACTAAATGAGATGAGGTGAATTACCCCAAAGCAGTAAGGCCTTGGAAATCCGATAGAAAAGAGCACCCTACTCCAAGCCCAAATGTGGCTCACTCTCCTCTCACACACTAGGACATCCTTGTTGTCTCACTGTGAAGACACATGGGAAACTAAGAAAGAAATGAACAAGGTCCCAGGAAATGATCCACAGGCTGCAGGTGGAGCAGAGGCCTGCGCCTGGGTACCAAAGCTGGGCCCTCTCAGTCTGAGGACAGCTAGAAAGGAAGTTATATGACAGGGTGAACAGGGGCTCAGAGGAGGGGTGGCCTTTACAGCGGCAGAGAGGTTGGTGCCAGGCGGCTCGGATGCTCCTGATATGATTGCTGAGAGGTGAAGCATCCATGGATTTGAAGAAGCCCAGGACCACAGGTTCCCTCGTGTCTATCCAGGCCTCTAGCCAGCTGCACCTGAGCCACTTGGGGGCTTTAGAAAACATATGGGTTCTGGGCCCCACTCTGGAAACCATGGTTCCGAGGGTTTGGAGTAGGGCCTGGGACTCCCTGGTGATTCTGGTAGGGTTTGGGGTCAGAACCCTGGCTTGGACTTTAGCCTCTAAAGCAGCGGTTCTCAACCTGTGGGCTGTGACCCCTTTGGTGGTCGAACGACCGTTTCACAGGGGTTGCCTAAGACCATCCTGCATATCATATATTTACATTACGATTCATAACAGTAGCAACATTACAGTTATGAAGTAGCAACAAAAATAATTTTATGGTTGGGTCACAACATGAGGAACTGTATTTAAAGGGCCAGAAGGTTGAGAACCACTGCTCTAAAGGAAGGGACTGACTTTTATTCAAGTGACAAGAGGCCCCTGTGGGCACCAGAGTGAGGTCCTGAGAGTCTGTCCCAGCAGAGATAGTCCCATGACCCAGGCTTCCAAGGCCTGTGAGGGCACCCTACATTCCTCACGGGGGCTGGGTCTCAGGTGTGGGGGGCACTGATGGCTCAGGAGCCAGGAGAGGATACGTGGGAATGCTCTGCAGAGTCTAAGAACATTATAAAAAAAGGAAGGGCTTAAGATGATGATAGTGTGTGTGTGTGTGTGTGTGTGTGTGTGTGTGTGTATTTCCAAAGGGAAAAATTAACGAGAAAACAGAAGTTACTGACGTACTAGTCCATTAAATTTTGTCCCTTTGAACCCATTCACCTCCTCTCTCCCAACCTGCTTGTGTGAAATATCACAAGTTGTGCAACTGTCTAGTGAGTCCTCCTACTGAGATTAGAACATCGAGGCTGAAATAAGCTAGATAATCATCTTTTATCTTGCAGCCATTTTCAAATTAAATATGAATGAGATGCAGGAGCGCTACTCAATGGGAGGAAAACCTAATTGTGAAACGATGGTGCGCATAGGACCCTAGCCTGTGAGACAGATCCTTGGAGTCGAGGCTGATCGTAGCTCTATTTGCTCCAGCGGGAAAGATGAGAGAAGGGGAACCTCAGCTGCTTCTCTCGCACTGTCACCTCCATTCCTGCCAATGCCAAGCGGCTGAGGTAGGCTGGGTCTATGCAGTGTGTGCACCTGATAGACTCACCTGAGAGACAGAAAGGTATACTTCCTAATATTATGGTTTGCTTAGGTTCAAGAAGGTGAACGAATAATATTTGTCTTGTAACTACCTGACAAAGGACCTGCAAGTATACTATTCCATTTAATGCGCATGAAGGTGGGGTAGCTGGATGTGGGGAAGAGTAGACTTTGGAGTAGGACAAACTTATGGTCAAATGCCAGTTTGACCATTTTCTAGCTGGGTGACCTTTGACAAATTACTTAACTCCTCTGAGCCTCTCAGTTCCCTTCCCTGTGGTACGAGGATGCTAAAACCTGCCTCGAAAGACCCGGTGTCACGAGGCAGCAATGAAGCAACCACACAAAGCCCCAGCAGGGCCCCTCACGCAGAGCAGGCACTCTGAGTGGCAGCTCACCTTCCAAAAGTGGCAATTCCGGTAAGACGCCCAGTAGATCGGTCTGGGCCTTTGCTAGATCTATAGAGTCTACTGTTTCTCTCCTGAGTCCTGCCAGCCAAGCCCAACAGACATTCCCCTGCTGGCCCAGTTTCCGGTGCTTGCTCCCTGGCTGGCTGAGCTGACTGTGGGAATGCACACCCCAGGGAGCCTGGCAGAGCCGCTCCTGGAAGACTGAACCTGTGCCATGTAAACACTGCACTTAGCCGATGATGAAGTGTTTAAGCACCCCTAGGATCCACAACTTACTCTACCTGCAAAAACATTCATTCATTTCTGAAATGTTTTGGTTGCTACAGTCCAGGATGGTGACATAAATGCTTTCAATCAAGGCACCGAGCTCAGGAGCCCTGTGTGGACACATTGGGATGGACGGCTTTCTCCTGAGGACCAGCATTCACCACGAAGGCCAAGAGAAGCCACACTGACTCCATCTTCGAGGGCTTCCTCACTGTGACACTGGGGACAGTCCACGTAAACTTGGAGGAGGGGACGTTGACAAGCCAAGGGCCATTTCAGGTAAAATTAGAACCACAGTCTGTGAAGCATGAAGGACGTAATGGTTCCTAAATTGAAGAACTTTTCTCCATATCCTGGGATACTTAAATCATGTTTTACTGAATGTTAATGTAAAGAAAGAAAACAAAAATCCATTCTTAAAAGAGGTCCTGAACTAAAACTTTGCTTTAGATTCATTCCTGAGGAATAATTTAAAAGTCCTAGTCTAAGGTGGCAGAAGCTCCCCCGCCCTCGAATCCTGGCGTGGCCACTGGGCCCACACATTCCGGAGCCGGGGCTTACATTCACAGAGCTTCCATTTCTTCACCTCCATAAAGAAATAACAAAACCCCACTTACGGGGCAGGTGGAATAATGGCTGTCAAACTGACTTGTGCCCAACTGACACATGCTCACTACAACCACAAGCCTTCCTGATTCGACTGCTCTCTGGGAAGGGCCTGGCTCGTGCCTACCATGGGCCCGGCACACAGCATGGGCCCGGCACACAGCAAGGGCTCTGTAGCTCTGTGTTAAGGAAAAGGACACCTGTGAGTGCAGTTCACTCATCATAGGCTGTCAGAGCTGAAGGTACCTCAGGATCACTTATTCCTCACTCTACACACAGGAACACTGAGGTCTAGGAAGTTTAACTCCCTGGATGTGTACAAAAAGTGACAGAACTGAGCTTCAAAACCAGGGCTCCTGAATCACAGATAATGATGCCAACCACATAAAAGTAATTGCTAAGGTTTCCTGAGGACTTTTATGTGCCAGTCTGTGCTTTGCTCAGATTTCTGAAACCCTTGTAAAAACCCATTTTACGGATGATGAAATTGAGACTCAGGGAGGTTAAGTGACTTGCCCAAAGTCACAGAGTTGGGGTCTGAGCCCAGGAGTGTGGCTCCCATATCCAGGTCTTAACTAGATGCTGCTCCATATAACTGCTCAGCACTGAAGGAAAGAGTCTAGAATCCGATGGCTGTAAGCCGCCCCGATCAAGCTGGGAAAGTTCCAGCTAAGAGAAATTTTTATTAATATTAGAAAAACCAAGAGGTGAAAGCACTGGCATGAGTGCCTGACTCTTCCTGAATGCCTACACGTCAGGCAAGATTTGGGGATTTGACTCAGAGTGGGTGCTACCTTATTATCTCCTTGGCTTTCCCAGCTCATCATGAAATTTTTCTCACTCTGGAAGAACACATTCAGGAGAAGACCAAACCTCCAATTTTCCTGTGTAATTTTGGCAAAGCTCCAGTTTCAGATCTCCACCCATCTGCCAGCCGCCACCCCACAAGCCTAGTTGGGAAGACGCTCCCTTTGGTGATGGGATCTGTCTCCACCTCCACGCTGGGCGGGCGTCACGCTGACCACAGAGCATCGACGCAGAATCAGCAAAACTCTTCCTTTGACTCTAACAAGTTCCATCCCCAAATTATTAAAAGCATTCCCCACCAAGACAGCAGTATTGCTTAAAACAGTCCAAAAAGGGACGTTAAAAAGCAAAGGAAGAGAGCAGCTGTAAGAGGTACAGATGCCAGGCAGACAGAGTCCCCACAGGGCCCAGCTACCCACCACGTCCGGCGCCTTCTGGATCTGCGAGGCCAGCTGGAGAGAGTGGTTGGCTGACGAGAGCTGCTCTCTTAAGGTCTCCGCCTCTCTCTGAGCCACCTCTGCCCTCTGAAGGAAATGAAAAGGGTGAGAAGAGAAAGTACATTCAGTTTAACAACTGACAATTATTACAAGAACATTCATCAATTCATGCCTGACTGACTATAATTGATTTTCCTAAACACTCAACCTAATAAATGCTAGAAAAAAACATAGAATGTGATGGATTTTTATTTTAAACAGTACAAGGAAGAAATAATTGAGCGATTATGACAGTAATTTAACGCTAGGAGCAAGGAATCCCCTGCTGATAGTAATGCTCCGGCCCACTGAATTTCCCAGACTGAATAAATACAAGTGGAAATGGAGTCTTTTGATTCAATTTCTTTCTCTTCTCATAGACCAAGAAGATTTTATTGCAGGATTACTCCTGGGAGTAATTCTCACGGGTAAACAGTGAATTAAAGACACTCTGGCCATTCTCTTCCTAAAAACATGCACAATGTTGTGGTTGTTTTCCTTCGGCAAGTATTTCCATAAATGTACAGGGTGTAAATGCCACTTCTTTTGTGAGGGCCAGGCTTATTTCAACATATTTAACCCTTCACCCGACAAAGGTTTCTAATGCCGATGCTGCCATTCCAGCCAGCAAGCCAATTTGGGGCCAGAGGCAGGAGGGTGGCCAGGCCCACTGGGGGTGGGGAGGAACAGAGCTGACTACAGGAAGGAGGTCCAAGAGAAATGAGTAAACACTTCTATCATTTGCATGTAATTCCCAGCCAAGGAAACCAATGCCACTGGATAGCCAATCAGGATTTCCCACTGAATGGCAAGAATAGGTCACCCTAGTGTCTGCCACATGAGAGGCACTGTGGTGCAGTGGGCAGAGGTTGGGTATTTGGGGAGAGAGGGACCAGGGCCAGTTACCTAACTAAGCTTCCACCTTCCCATCTCCAAAATGGAAATGCCGCCTCGCTCTCAGAGACTTCGCAAGGATTAACATCTGCAGAAGTGCACGGTACATAGAGCTCATTCAGAAAGGTTTTATTAATGGGCTTGTCCTGATTTTACAATTACAATGAGATGAAACTCTAAGGTGGGTGAGAAACGGTAGCTAATTCACATTGGACACGCAGGCTGAGAAATATCGTGCCCATTCTTTCTACCAGACTTACATTCTGCTAATAGAAAAGATTAACGAGAAAAGCCTGGCTGAGCAGGGCTATTTCATGTGTTTTCTCATTTTGTGGTGTGACGTTATGGGTCTACTAATTGCTAAGAAAGACTGAAAAAGATAAACAAGAAGTTAGCCTGCCCCAGTACTTGCTGATCAATCTTGTTGTGTAAGAACAGGCCGGCAGCTTTATCCCATCATGTGACGGCAGCACAAATCTATCTGCTCTGCCTACAGACAAATTAGGATATTCCCAAGAGCAGTTACTTCTGTAGGGTGGTGCTGGTGGCCGCCTGCCCTGCTTCTCCAGGAACTCTTGGAATTGCACTCAATCTAATTCACACGGCGCCTGGCCAGGCCTGTCTGTGCTCAGGAGTCGCCTCCCTCCCTCCCTGCTCCAGAGACTCTAGAACAGTGGTTCTCAACCTTCCTAATGCCGTGACCCTTTAATACAGTTTCTCATGTTGTGGTGACCCCCAACCATAAAATTATTTTTGTTGCTACTTCATAACTGTAATTTTGCTACTGTTATGAATCATAATGTAAATATCTGATATGCAGGATGTATTTTCATTGTTACAAATTGAACATAATTAAAGCATAGTGATTAATCACAAAAACAATATGTAATTATATATGTGTTTTCCGATGGTCTTAGGCGACCCCTGTGAAAGGGTCATTCAACCCCCAAAGGGGTCACGACCCACAGGTTGAGAACCGCTGCTCTAGAAGCACCCACCAGGAAAGGCGGCAATGTGCCGTGTGGCGAAGATGGCAAGGTGATTTCTAGTTCATGCTAACTGCAGGAAAGTCTTTTCAGTGAGAAAGATTTCCCAAGGTTATATCTAAACGTGCCACTCCAAGTTTCTTCTGATGAACATGTCCTATTACGGAAAGTTTACTCTTCACTTTCTAGTTAGCTAAACCCTTGGGCATAATGTCTCCATGACTTTGCCAGGAATAAGGTGCATTTTGACACAGTTGTAGTCTCGTTGCCTAGGAAAAATATTTCTTAGCCTGGTGGAGGAGGTGTTCTGGTAGCAGCCAGGCGGCAGCATCACTGCCCACCCTGTCTGGCAATGCTGGCTCCGAAGTGCTCCGGAACCACCAGGGCTCGGCAGCCTGGGCAGGAGGTCCCCGACCAGGATCTCATGCAGGCATTTAGCTGCTCAGAGCAGAGTGCTGTCTCATCAAAGGCCAGTGGCTCACAGAACAGGGATCTAGCTGTTGATGATTTCACCCTTGGTTTGCATAATTTTTCCAGAGCTGCTGTACTTCATTCCGTTTCCAAGTTCATGTACAGAGTGGCTGTGACCTTTCCATGCCGGTCACAGCCGCTAATCACATTTGGCTTGGCTACTCCATGCAGCTTTGTGATTGTTTAGAATATGTATTGTTTATTTAGGCTTTATACCTTGAGTACATAAAAAACAAAACAATAAAAAAAATGAGTTGAGGTGGTTTGTGCAGCCAAACATGGACAAAGCTGAGCAACTGAAAATGAAACAGGACTGAGAGTGGCTGAGAGGGAGATTCTGTAGTTGTAAATTTAGTCCCGTCTTTGGCAGCTGAGGCAGAAAGGGGTACTATGTCGGGTCGGCACCGTGGTGTCACTTGTTTCTGGGGTCTCCCATCTTCCCACTGTCCACAGACCTATCAGATAAAGTCTGGTTGTTTCTAGAACTGGAATCAATGGCAGGAGATGGAAAACTCTGGTGCTGTTTTCTGATCTGGAACCTCAGACACAGAGATGTGGCTGCTATGAGGCAGACACTCCATTCTGTTTCCACTGGTGGGGTCCCTCCTCCCCTGTCCCTCCAGAGGCAGAGCCTGGGGACCAAAGCCAGGGCTCCCACCGGCAGCTGGTGACAGTGCTGGGGGTGGTTTAGTGGCCACCCCATGGCAAGAACAGCGCCTTGCCTGAGCTGCTCTCCCGGAGATTCCACTTGCTGGCTTTTGCTCACTTTCTTTACTTTTCTGAGAAGTGAGAGTAAATGCTGGAAGTAAAAGAGGAGCTAGAGCCTGAGGTGACCCCACTTCAGTGATTCTATAGGAGAGAGGTGAGGAAGCTCTACTAAGAAATTTATTGCCATGTGTCCCAATAAATGTAGCCCTGCACTGGCAACCAAAGTCCCCGGATAGACCTGCTGCCCATGTTTCCAGGACTCAGCGCGCATTGGTTTGGATTTCTTTCTCAGGTCAGCCAGGCTGAACGCTGGAACTACAAAGGCTACCCATGTAAACCTTACTTGTCACAGCCTGAATCAACTTCAGGAAAGCCAGAGGAGCCAATTTCCCTAGCTCCTCCTGCCCCAGGGACTCTCTCTCTCTCCAGGTCTTGAGGCCCACCTGACCTGGGAGCCCAATTTATCACACGGAGAAACCAATGTTCCCAGGAGACCCAAGGAGTGACCAGGCGTGCACACATGGCCAACTTACTGGCAAAGAGCCCAGGTGAGACCAGCACCTCCAGCAGGGCCTGCTCGCAGCAGGTGCTCAAAACTATTTGTTATATGACTGGGGGTTTGATGGGTGGGGGAACTCTCAGAGGTGTGAATGCTTACCTCAGTCTAAAGGTAGGGAAGCATGTGCTGGGAGACAGGATTTGCTCAAGGCCACATGGGTGGGAAACGGGAGATCTGAGATTCAAACTCCCCACCAGAAGACAGAAACCTTGGTCAAAGAAAATGCCACGCCTTGCACTGAGTTCTTTTTCTCTTTGCATTTCTCTCAATCTTGACTCCTCCTCCTTAATGGAGTTAAACTGTGGTTTCCAACTGAACCACCACCTGAGAGGGTCTTCTGTTAGGGTAGTCTCTTCCTTAACCATCAGGCAGGTGGCAGGAGGGGGAGCACTCGCTGAGAGAACATCCTCCCGCCCTGCTGGGGCTGCTCTGAAAGGAGGGGCGGGTGGAGGCGCAGCCAGAGAAGCCAACCCAGTCACTAGGCCCACAGACAGCGTTTCATGTGGTTGGAGAGTACACAGTTGTGGTTTCTTATTTCCTATGAAGTCTCAAAGGTTCTGAACCTTTATTGCCACCAATTACGACAGTATTAATGCAAGTGCCTTGAAGTTTAACAAACAGGTGCAAATGAGACCGGACCTAACTGATGGTCGGTAGTGGACGCTCTTCTACTTCTCCACACCAGACGCAAAAGCACTTCAGCAATAAAATAGAGCTACAGGTCTCAGCAGAACACCGTGACTACAAAGCTTGTGCAAAAATACTGTTAAATGCCAATGAACTAGTAAACTGCTCCTCCTGGGGGTTTCCCCTGATGGGGATGGGAAAGGCGGCTGAACCAGATGTCTGGCTGTGCCCATGCTGGTGTGTGGCCCTCTGTAGACCTCCTCCTGCCCACTCCACCTCCACTCAGCTCCACTGGGACCGCCTCACTTCAGGCCCATGTCTTCTTTGCCTCGGTCTATCACAACAGCTGCTTACTGCTCCCCTGGCTTCCGGTCTTTCTACCCCCATTCATTCTCCAATGTATAGCCAGAGTGATCCTTCTAGGACTCATCTGATATCTTACTTCCACCCATGATTCCGAACTGCTCTCAGGATGAGGTCCTCCACACACCTGGCTGATCCCTTGCTATGGGCCCACTCTCCCTCTCTGAACCTCATGGTTCTGGCTTATGGGATGGCCTACACACCCAGAGCTCATCATGTCCCTCCTCGCCTGCCTGTATGCGTCCTCATGCCTCCCTGGGGAGTTTTTCTCCTTGTGAGTCGTCCTCGTCTACCCACTGAGCCACCTAGTTCAATCCTTCTGTCCATTCATACTCTGTCTGATGCCCCATCTCATATTCTCAGTGAGGGTTGGCCAGCATTGGCCTGCACAATTCTGCTGACAGGGAGCTCACTCCCTTCCACCAGCCTCTGAACTCAGCCATGAAACAGCCAGACCCCTTCTCCTGGCCAGCCCTGAGGAGCTACAAGGACACAATTTACCATGTCCCCGCACTAGGCCTTCCCCTGTGTAATCTTTTAGCATCCTACATTCCTGAAATTATTCCTCTGGAGCTTGGTGTCAAGTCCCTCTGTCGTCTCTCTCTGCTCCCCAAAGATCAGGAATATCCTCAAACCTCCTGGTGTCTTTTGTGTTAGGGTCCCTTCCCTGTCCTGGCCACAGAGGGGACTCTGAATGAACTCCATGTACCTGCTTTCCTTACAGTGTGAGTTCCAGGATAAATTCTTATTCCCTGGGGATGAACTAATTGTTGCAGGTGTAGAATCACCACCTCCTTTATTCTAGAAACTATTTCTATTAATGTAGCCTGAGGCTGCAATGATTTATTTTGGCAGCCACATCAGGCTAGTAACTCACCCTGAGTTGTTGGTTAGAGCTCTCCTATGCCTCTCTCCACCCCACCACGCTGGCATGTCCCCAGAACAGGGCTTTATAATTCTCCCACCAAACCTGTGCTTCTTTAGCAACTATAGAATGAATATTTATGTAAGCACCCACTTCTTACCCAGGCATTTTACCTTTAATCTTCAAAACAATCTTTCAATGGAAGAACTAGTTAGCATTCCCCTCCCTCCCTTTCTCTCACTTAAACATTTCTTAAAATTTTAATTATGGTAAAATACATATAACATGAAATTTACCATCGTAACTATTGTTAAGCATATAGTTTAGTGTATTAAGCACATTTACACTGTTGGGCAACCAATCCCCACTACCTTTTCATCTTTCCAAACTAAAACTCTGCACCCATTAAACAACTCCCCACCCTGCCTGGCCTAATCTCTGTGAATGTGACTACTCCAGGGACTTCATGTAAGTGGGATCAGTGTTTGTCTTTTTATGATTTTTTAGCTTAATGTCCTCAAAGTTCATCTTTTTTTCTTAAAAAAAAAAAAGAAAGAAAAAAAAGAAGAGAAATGCAAGTCGTAGCTTACAGACTTGTTCGAGACTGACAGGCAGGAAGTACCGAGTTGGGAAATGAACCAAGTGTCACTTTGGAGGTGGCACCCTTCTCTATCGCCCTGCCTGCTGTCTTCTAGGACTGAGACCTATCCGGGTGGCCTCAGCCCTTTGAGAATCGCATCAACTTGGCCAAACTTCTGTAGTACCTGGGACTGCCTCAGAGCCTGCATTTGACATTCACAGAATAAGGTTACCTGCTGCACAAATCAGAGCTTATCCCAAAGTGCATCCAAAGAGAAGGCACCCCCAGACTGGGGAGAGTGGATGGGTGGGAATTTGAGAAACGCAAATGGCAATCCTGTGACAGAGAAGGTGAACCTTCCAGTAACTACTTTTGAGTTCAGGTCTCTGCAAAGTTGAGTGGTGCTGAGTAAAAACAGAGACCCAAAGTCAACTAGCTTCATAAGTAAAGGTAAATAAATACTTAAGCACCTTTGGGAGGTGAAGCAGAAGCAGTGCTTTTACAGAAGGAGCTGAGTGAATGGGGGCACTTGGGAAACAAGACCATTTGAAAGAAAGGCAAAGGGGGCCCTTGTTCTGTGGCCTGTTCCCTAGTGTGCTGGTGAAGAGCACAGGCTCCAGGCCTGGCTCTGCAATGTGCAGCCACTGCCTCGATTTCCTCATCTGTAAAATGGGGATCATAACAGCACTGATCTTAGTGGGCTGCACTGAGATTTAAGTGACTCCGTTCATGTGCGATGCCTAGAACAGAGCCAGGCAACTTAGCGCAAAATAAGTTACTCAAGAATTGTTAGCTCTTTCTACTATTACCAGGATAACTACATGTGATAACGCTATCTCAGGCGCTTTGTTCCATGCATCTCTACTGAGCGCCTTCTATGGGCCAGGCCCAAGGTCCTCAGTGGTCACTCTGGGGATACAATACAAAACCCACAAAATTTTCCTTTAACCCCTAGAGTGCCGGGGAGTGCTATCGTGCTCCTCCTGCAGTGTCACTATTAGATGCTAGTAGTTCACTCTTTATGTGGGAAAAACAATTTAAAAACCTTAACTCAAAATGCTTTGGCAATTTTAGCATAGTTCCTAGGATATTGGTTGGCACTCAAAGGGTTAAGAAAGAAGAAATTCACACATCCTGGGATTATTCTTATGCATAAACTGACCTTCACATTTTAATCAGAGTTGAGGATGATTTTATTGGTTTGGGTAAGCAATGCCAGCCAAGGGGCGGGCACCCTATGGAGCTTGCGGAAGGTGGGAAGCAGCGACCAGAGACCCAGAAAGGACTTTCACCCTGTGGGGGCTGTGCTTGCTGGCCACGGAGGCACAGCCCCATGCTTTCTTGTGCTGTGGCTGCCCAGCTGTCAAACTGAGTGTTGGGGAGGCCATGGCCTGTGCAGTCTAGGGCTGAGGAACATCATGGCTTTGGCTATTTCTCCCACAAATAGAGAAGATAAGTGGGGAGAGCCCTTTCTTTCCAAAGCAGCAGCACCATTTGCTGAATAAAAATATTTTATTGTTCTACGGAGTCCTCGGAGAAGGAAGGGGTTCTACAGGTGGCCAAATTTTCCAGGCAGCTAAGCATTTAGAGCCACCAATACCGTGTGCCTATTTTGTGCCAGACACTGTTGAGGACTTCCTGAAAGGCACCTGTGCCAACTAAGTACCAGCCAAAAGGGGGCTGACCGCTGAAGGCTCTCTCCAGACAAGTGGCTTCACCCAGCAGAGGGGAGTGATAAAGACTTCTCTGCAGCATAATGGCTGCCACACGGACAGAGGCGGGTATGAGCCACTTCCCAGTGGACCATCACCAACCAGGGGGTGTCTGGGATGCTTGGGTCACATCAAAGACTTTGCCTGTGACTTTTCATGTATTTCTCATGACATCAGGAGAAGTGTTAACATTGATAGCTGTATGTAAAAAATACAAGAATAACTGGCTTCTAACTTAGAGAGAAGCATCTTCCAAGATGACAAATGGCTATGCTAATATGATTTTATCCCTGAAGCCATCAAGCATCCTACCTGGTTTGCTCTTTCAAGGTCCGTCATGATCATTTCAATTTCATCGGCCCTAGGAGATGAGAGGAAGAGAGCGTGTTAGTCAGTAGCCAGCCAGGCTCCGGGTGCCCACAGTTCTGAACTTGGCAGAATGACTTATAGGTACACATTCCAGGTAGAGTCCCCAGTGTAGGGGGAGAGAAGAGGTATGCAGTCCTGTGATCAGGCACCGCTGCTCACTGGGAGGAGGTAGGCCTGCCCTTGAGGTGCTCCTGATCTTGTCAGGGAGAGAATCATAAAAAGATAAAGTACAGTGTCCTGCCAAAAGATTGAATAGAACTCTGAACAGAGTAGTCTGGAAAAACAAGAAATGAATTCTCCTTGGGAGAGGGAATCTGAAAAGGCTTTGGAGGAGATTGCATGTGAACTGGGTTTTGAAGGATGAGTAGAAGTTTGCTAGGACTGAGAGAAACACGAGAAGTGGAGGAGAGGATAGGAATGCAGGTCGGGGACTCTGCAGTCTGCTCTTCAAACCACCTGAGTTCACCACCAGCATCTGGCCTGCTCACACACAGGGAGTTCCAGGTCCCTTTTTTTCTGTTTTGAAAGTACTTCCTTGAGTAATTTGAAGGCAATAATATGGTTCCAACATATAACATCATGAGAGAGAAAATAATGCTGAGAATCCTATTGAGAAGGGTATGGTCAATTTCGAAAGTCTATGGGAGGTTAGAACTGGGCACTCCGGCAAGTCACTGCCCCAAACTTCTATATTCAGTCCCTGGCTGGTTGGTTTTGCTGTTTGCTGCACCCAAAGCTTTTTTAGCCTTTAGCCGCACGCTGCGATTTGAGGCAATCTTATCAACTTCCCGCAGTTCGGACGGGGTAACAGATGCCTTGTGTGTGATCGGGTTCAAGGCTCATTGTATCTGTTTGAAATAGTATCCTGCTTTCAGACTGGTCTGAGAAAAGTCTGAAACAATTCATAAAATGTCCTAGTTAAGTGAAGTTATTTTTAGGATGACTTCGTGAAGAAGGCAGTGTCTTTGGAAGACAAACACCCCAACTGGGCCTCTTCGGTGAAAATACTAAGTGAAAGGGGGTGGGTTGGGGGGGGGCAGCTTAAATTACTAAACATCTCACCGCATCATCTGAAACAGAAACCTCCAAGATTTCAAAAAAACTGCTCTGCCAAAGAAAAGATAGTCTAATGACGACAAAGGATAAAAAAATAATTAAAGGTGTGAAGGGTCTAAAACAGGACAGAAAAGGATACCTGACAGTCAGTACAGAAAGCTGCTATCTTGACAACCTGCTGATGAAGTGCCAATTCCACTGGGTACAAGATGAAATAAAAAGTGAACACACTCTTCTTAAGGCAAATCATAACGTTTAAACACAATTTTGTACTTTAATCAAACAGTTATTCATATGTATTTACAAAGTCCAGATATACCTGGCAAATTTCCCTGGCTACTGGGATCATTCATTCATTCACTCTCGTGCCATGAACATTTCCGACACCTACAAGTTTCCTGGCCCTGGGCAGGGCTACGGGAGGGGCACATATAGACATGGCTCCTGCAGATCTTGCCAGTACTGTGTTTTTACAAGAGAAGGATGGAAACACTTAGCTGTTGAATACCTGAAAAAACTCTATAGGTGGTGTCTCATGTCTCTCTCTCTCTCTTTTTAAAAATATATATATTTTATTGATTTTTACAGAGAGGAAGGGAGAGGAATAGAGAGTTAGAAACATCGATCAGCTGTCTCCTGCACACCCCCTACTGCAGTGATGGCGAACCTTTTGAGCTCGGCGTGTCAGCATTTTGAAAAACCCTAACTTAACTCTGGTGCCGTGTCACATATAGAAATTTGTTGATATTTGCAACCATAGTAAAACAAAGATTTATATTTTTGATATTTATTTTGTATATTTAAATGCCATTTAACAAAGAAAAATCAAAAAAATGAGTTCACGTGTCACCTCTGACACGTGTGTCATAGGTTAGCCATCACTGCCCTACTGGGAATGTGCCCGCAACCAAGGTACATGCCCTTGACTGGAATTGAACCTGGGACCTTTCAGTCCGCAGGCTGACACTCTATCCACTGACCCAAACCGGTCAGGGCGTCTCATGTCTCTCTTGAGCAGATGAGGGGAACTGGCTGCAGGACCCAGCCGCTGGGTGGGGAAGGGCCTGGCTGAGTGAGCAGAGATCCTGAGTGTGGGCCTTGGCGAGGGTTTTTTCCTAGTCACTCCTGTTGGGTCCTCAATGAGCACTTTTTTTTAAAAAATTTTTTTATTGCTTAAAGTATTACAAAGGGTATTACATATGTGTCCTTTTTTTTCCCCCCCCCGCCCTTGACAATCCCCTGGCCTCCCCTACCCCCCAGTGTCTTATGTCCATTAGTTATGCTTATATGCATGCATACAAGTCCTTCGGTTGATCTCTTACCCCCCTCCCTCCTGCCCCCCAACCCTCCCCGGCCTTCCCGCTGCAGTTTGGCAATCTGTTTGAGGCAGCTCTGCCTCTGTATCTATTATTGTTCAAAAGTTTATAATGATCTCTATTATCCATGAATGAGTGAGATCATGTGGTATTTTTCCTTCATTGACTGGCTTATTTCACTTAGCATAATGCTCTCCAGTTCCATCCATGCCGTTGCAAATGGTAAGAGTTCCTTCTTTTTTACAGCAGCATAGTATTCCATTGTGTAGATGTACCACAGTTTTCTAATCCATTCATCTACTGATGGGCACTTAGGCTGTTTCCAGATCTTAGCTATGGTGAATTGGAGCACTTTCATCTTCCTTTACTTCTGGCTAATTTATCTGTCATTGACATATTTCTTCTGCTTTATTTGGAACTATTATTTGGATTTGGTTGTACATCTACTTCTGTCCTCCACATCATTCAACCTTTCCTTATCCTTTCTAGATGCTTTTGGGTGGTTCTTCAATTTGACCCAACTGCAGCTGTATTGGTCCTGTAATTTACCTTGTTTCTTCTGTTCCTTAGTTTAGTTATTCTGTTTTTCATACATATTCCTACTTCATTCACTTAAAAAAATTATTCCTTGTTTTTGCTTTATGTTGCTATTATCTTCCCTTCTTTTCTTGAGTGCATTTCTCATGCTTTATTTTGTATTCCTGTCAGATCACACATACTGTGTGTTTGTTTTTTTTTGCGGGGGGAGGTCTGTCCTACAGAGGGATGTTTTCTTCAGCTTTCCTTGGGGGTGCCGCTACTCTTTCTGGCAGAGAGGCAGGCCCTGCTGTCTCTCTCAGGATGAAGTGAAGGAGAAAGACACACAGCAGGTGTTCAATGTATTTTGCTGAGTGAAGAAAGAAGGGGGGGGTGACCCCAGGACCCAGAGGAATCATTGATAACTCTCCTCCACCAGGAAGATCCTCTGGTCAGAGTTTCACCTTTAATTCTCTGGGAATTCCCAATCCTGGATCTGGAGATAAGGGGGAGAGGTGTGGCTGCCTGTTTTTATCCACTGCTCAATCCTTGCCTGGCTCTGCCATTGGCCAAGGGGCCAGTATAGGGTCAGACACAAGCTGAGGCTAGAGAAGAAAGGGGTTCCCAGGGGCCTGGCTTTACCTAGAGCTGGCAGCAAGGCTGGGACCCGTGGGGACAAATTCTACCAGATTTAGGGGACTTCGATGGGCTTGAGAGCCTCCTCAGACAGTGAGTGGTTTTGGATACTCATTAGTATGCCTAATATCCAGAAAACAATGCACTATTTCCAAAAGGTTTCAATTCCCTTATAAAGAATTAGTCACAATTAAACAGAAAGGTGCCTTCTCGGCAGTCTGAGGCAATCCCTGGAAGTGAATTTCAAGTTTTTCCATCTTGTGGTCAGTTTAACTTCAGTTACTAAGCAACCACTAAACTGACCAAAATATTGAATGTGATAACAACTATTGCACTTACCTTTCATTACAAGAGTAACTCTCAGATTTCCAAAGCTTTCAAATGATAATGACAACACTGAGCTCTGCTGTTAAAAAGCACGGCTATTCAGCACCAGGTATCCTGATGACAGCAGGGCCCAGGGGGGCTGCAGCTCCCATTCACAGAATGGACCAGAAGCCACAGGAGGAGACAATGGAGCAGTGGGCAGGGAAAACGCCAAACTATTATTTTAAAAGTCTGTAGGCTTGTGATTCATTTTTCAAGGGGCATGCTTTTTAAAAGATCAAAAATATATCTATCAAGATATTTCAGTGTGATCGGGGTTTTGAAGATGGGAAATGCAGCCACTGGCACTTGTAGACGAGGACGGAGATGGTGGGGGCTTTGATAGTCTGTGCTGGTCGCATCTTAGAACACAACCGCCACTGAGTCTGTGCAAAGCACTCCTCTCCAAACTGCTGCCCCTGCCCTCCCAACAAAATGAATGCTCCCAGACAAACTGCCCTCAATAAGTAACACGAAAATGCCCAGAGGTTAACACTACAACTATAAATGTTATCTGAAAAGTGCAGTAATGAATTAAATGCCATGTGCTTTCATAGAGTGAGTGTCAACAATATTCTGAAGGTTTTTCATTCTTTTCATTTTGAAGGCCCAACTACCACATCAGGATCTGGAGCCTGACATTAATCTAAAATCATTTATTTTCCAAAGTCCATAATAACAGCACATATTGTTTGCTCAGCAAAACTATTTATTATAAAAATTTAGTTCTCTCACCTTTTTACGAGCTGACAAAACAGCTCTCACTGATCTATTAACCTGCACGGCATTACGTTCCACTCCGACTTCAAAGAGCGAGTAATTTCAGCTTGGCCTAGAATATTTGGTTTATCCAGTCAGTTTCCTACGGATCATTTCAGGGTATTCTCTGCACTAACACGCAATTTTTATGAGGAACTCGAAAGGACGTGGTCAAGGTGGATGGAAGGGAGATTATATCCACACTGGGAACTCCGTGTTTACTTTCACACTAGCCCCCCAAGTGCTAAGGGATGGCACCAAGGCAAGGCTGGTGCATATTTCAATACCCAAACACTCATACTGTCATCAGGATCTGTTAGACCAAGTACATCTACAGGCAGTT